AAAAAAAAAACAATAAAAAAGAAGAACAAGGCGAATAGGGAGACGGGGGGAAGGAGCGTACATGTATACACGGACGTGGAAATTTATTAAAATACACGCATGTTTTTTTTTTTAATTTGTTTCTGTCTGTGTGTGTCCATTGGGGTGGGGGCGGTGTGCACATGTTTTACGTCCACCGAATGCATGGGAGCAGGACGCCCCCGCTGCTGTCGGACAGGCGCAGAGGAGGGGGCAGGATGAGTGGGGATGCGTGGATTGCCTTCACTTGTATTTATTTCATATGACATTCATGTCGTTTGCACCTCTTTTTTTTTTTTTTTTGTGTGTGTGTGTGTGTCCTTCCAAGAGCACCCAGCGGGGCTTTGGGGTTCAGTGAATATTTCCTCCTCCTCTTCTCCCTTTTCTTTTTTTTTATTATTATTTTTTATTTTCATTTTTGTTGGGGCGGCGAGGGAAGGCGGGACGAAATCGAAAGAAATGAAAAGTTGGGGGAAGGGAGAAACGAAACGAAAAACAAAAAAAAAAGTCACATTTTATGTGTTCGCATGCACGTTGGGATTTGGGTCTCGGCTTCGCATTGGCGGGCGGCAAGCGATGCGTGACTGCAGGCTTCGACAGGATCGAAAAAAAAAAAAAAAAAAAAAAAAAAAAAAGAGTGATGTTTGCCTCAAAGTGTTTGCAAATAAAACTGCAATAAAAATAATGAGAGAAAAAACAAAAACAACAACAACAACAAAAAACCAAAAAAAAAAAAAATGGCGCACGTGTTTTCTCAAGAGAATTTGGATGCTTCTTTTTTTTTTTTTATTACTTTTTACGTGTTTTGTGCCACTCTGTCTGTGTTTCTGTGCGGTGGATGCATCTCCCACACATTCTCTCCTGTTCTCGTCACATGTAAACTTGTTTTAACAACACGTCTCCACACACACACACACACACCCGGATTGACAGCAGAGGGAAGAAACAAAGAATCAAACAAACGCAAAAAACGAAAAACAAAAAGGGGGATGCGTCGCCCATCGAGGTGGCGTCATGTTGTGCGGCCTACACTTCCGTTTGAAGCCTCAGTTATTACCGCTGTCGTGGATGCTGCGATGACGAGGATGGGGATGACACGCTCGGTATCAACGGCGCCGCCAATTTCTTTGCTTTCGTGGTCCGTCGACGGTGCCGGACACACACACCGCCGCTGCAGACGTCGTCTCTCCATTCAAGAACGCATACCGTTGATCTGCAACACAATTAGGGAAGCTGCCCCGGACATCGTCGCGCTTCAGGACTCCTTGCCGCAGGTGGCCGATGCGCTTTGCAGTCAGTTGGCGCCCAGACACATTAGTAAGCCACATGACGATAACACGCAGGCCGAACTTTTGCCAGCAGATGCCAAAGATGGCCCTCAATACGAATTAGTTGGAGCTGTGCGAAACGGTCGTTGTGGATGTCTGCAGCTGTTTAGGCGTCATGACTCGGTTTGGGGCGGGCGTCTTCTTCTTTCCTGTCCGTCTCTCACGGCCGAATTTGTTTCCACCGCCCCGTTCGTCCACGACTCAGCCAGCAGAAAAGCAACAGAATCAAGCAAGGTGGCTGCGGCTACGGCGGTGGGTGGTGACGGTGGCGGTGTTCGCTTTGTGCTGACGAACGTGGATCTTTCTTACCGTGGTAAGAGCTTGGCGGTAGGAGGGATGCCACTTGTGTCGCCCGATGTAAGCGCGAACGGGAGTCCATTCACGTTGCATGTAGCGCCCGGAACGCCGGCGAGGCAGCGGGTGAAGGGGCAGTTGGATCCGCACCGCGAGGTGGCCCTCAAGTTCTTCTCACGGGTGGCAAGGCCTGATGTGTTGCTTGGAAACTTTTTTATGGGACGCGATGAGTCCATGCCGGGGTATGAGGACGCATGGGCACTCGCAGGAGCACCGGCGGAGCATGAGCGCACGATAAACACATTTTACCATCACAAGCATGACGCGGAGACGAATTTCTTTTATTTTTTACCACAACAGACAAAAGTGGTGGGTAATCCCGTGTCGTTTCCTCCTGCGGATGCTCCCGTGGGCACGCGGATCCCGTTGAATGCCTCTTGTCTCATTGACAGGCCTACTGGGTCAAACATCGTGGACACGACGACCAATTCTTCAGTAAAAAGTGGCGGGGAGCGGGATGCCGTGCGACCGCGTGGAGAGGTGCCGCAGGTTGCGGCGAGGATTCAGCGGTGTTTCTTCCGCCGTCTTCCATCAAGGCATCACAAGCGACAACTTCCACTTTTTTCTCGGTACGAACGACGACAGTTGGTGGTTTTGAAGCCCTTCACACATGCCCTTTTGACGGCAGAAGAGGCGGCAGCGGCGGGTCGGGATGGCGGCGGGATGCAGGTGCGTTGCTCCGCCGCGGATGGGTACCCTATTCTGGTACTTCTTTCCTGAGCCCCGCCATACGGAAGGCGGACAGGGTTTGTGCAGCTTTGTTTGTGTGTCTGCGGGCTGTTTTACCGTCTCCTCTTTTTATTCTTTCACATCCTTCATTCTTTTATATGAGGGAGGGCGAAGGCGGTGGCCTTTTTTTTTCTTTTTCTTTTTTTTCCCGATTTCCCCTTTGTTGAAATTTCAACCGATATTCTTTTGTTATTATTATTATTATTTGCTTTTTTTTTTTCTTTTTTGTGCGTGTGTGTGTGTTTCTCGTGGTGGTGCCGCACTTGCTGCAAGCGGCTGGGTGCCATCGTTGGAGGCGAGAAGTCAAGTCGGAAGGAAGCAGAAGAAAAAGAAGAAGAAACAACAAAACAACAAAAAGAGAAAAAACGATGCTGGAGGCTGACGATTGGGTCACCCGGCTGCCTGTGCCCCCAAACAGCGAGCGTGGAGCGGACGGGTCGTCTGCGTCGCTCTCTGCTGACGTCTTATTTTCAGCGTACCGCCTCGGGACTCCTTGTGTTTGCCGACACACAACGGCGCGTAACCGCGTGTTGAACTGCGTTGCCTCCCCTCGTTGCTTTGCCGGGTTTTTAGAACTCGCAACTGACGCATCTGTTCTCAGCGAGTGCGTGGCGGATATCATGGGTGAGGAACCCCAACTGTTGCCGGCGAAAGAGGGCGACACCGCCCTGGAGGATACTTTGAATAAGTTGACGTGTGCGAAGTCCCACCCGCTGCGTAGAGGCATAAGAAACCTGGGTAACACATGTTACCTCAATGCCATTCTGCAGCTGCTCTTTAATATTTCGAGCGTGCGGTACGAGGTGTTCAGCGCCTGTGCGGAGGATCTCTCTGTTGAGGAACATCGCGTGTATGAGATTTGTGAAGACTCGGTTCAGAAACCAGATGATGCGGAGAGGGGAGAAGACGAGGGATCACAACCCATAAAGTATGCTTTACAGGCATCTGGCCTGGGAGAACTGTTTGCGGAGATGGCACTCACACGTGACGGTAATGGGGCCAACGCACAGCCTTTTGCTGCCTTTCTTTCTTTGGACACGAAGACACAGCAGGATGCGCAGGAGTTCTTTGCATTACTGATCAGTTGGCTGCAGCACCACGGTGGGGAGGTTGTGGAGCGGACGTTTGAGGGGACGCTTCTTTATGACCGTCGGTGCAGCAACTGCCACCGCGTCTTTAAGAGGGCGGAGCCCTTTTTTTTTCTCTCACTTCCTGTGAAGGGTACCGTTGAGGAGGCACTGAGCACATTTCTGCAGCCGGAGGAGGTGGAAGGGTTTATGTGCGATGGCTGCAACCTCACGACCACGGCATCCTCCTGTCAGTACCTGCGAACACTTCCGGATGTTTTGGTGGTGCACCTCAATCGCTTCGCCTTTGACCTGCAGACACTGCAGCGGGAGAAGGTGACGACATCTGTGAGCTTCCCACTTGAGTGGGAGCTGGCAGATTACATCAACCGCTGGCAGCAGCAGCAGCAGAGGAATGAAGAGAACGACTCCGCCACGGATGGTGCTGCTAATATCACGGCTACTACTAATACTGCTGCTACCACCACGACGCATCTTAGTAAGGCATGCTACACACTCATGGGTGTTGTGAATCACATTGGCGAGACTGCCCTTTCTGGTCATTACACATTCCACGGCAAAGTTGACGAGGAGGCAGGGTGGTACCTCTTTGACGATGCAAAAGTGACGAAACTTCATCATCGTCTTCACGGCAATCGGGTCATCTCAAAGGAAGCGTACATGTTGGTGTACCAGTTACGCCCATGCGAGTCTACAACAGTGTCGCATGACGACATGATACGAGCTTCTGAGGATGTGAAGAACGAGAGGAGTAATTCTGTTCCGTTGCCTCCTCGTCTTTTAAAACACGTGCAGCAATTGAATCGTGAATTGGAAATACGGCGACAAGACTGGGAGATGCGTCGGGCTGATTTTTTGTTTTTTCTGCAGCAATGGGGGGAGATTGCACTAAATCTCCTTGGAGGGAGGCTTATATGCAACAGCGTCACGGTAGAAACGGCGGCAAGGGAGGAGGAGGAGGAGGAGGAGGAGGATGAGGGCGAGCGGAGTAGCACTGAGCTTGCGGACCTGTTTGCTGTTCCCTCAAGCTGGCTCCGGTTGTTTGGTCGCGGTTTCCTTCCATCGTATGTGGATGTGCGGGAGTACAATGAGTGCGAGAAGCGAAAGAAGCGATTGCGAAGGAATGCCAGCGGTCGTACTGGTCTCGAGGACATGTTGGGAGGCGATCCTCCCAAGTCATCATCGCTGGTGGGAAATGAGACATGCGATAACGCACGCGGCGCAACATCCACAGAGCAGCTGGACGACGATGCCACCGCCACGCGAATAAAAGAAGGAGGAGGAGGTGTGGATATGGCCAAAGAAAATAATATACTGTTTGAAGGGACATCTTGGGCTTTGCTTTTGGACCTAATGGAGGGTCTGCGCTGTCCACACGGCAAGTTGGCTCCCTGGGGTCCGTATAAACTTGTTCCTTCTGCATTGTCTGCGCGATTGGCGTCGCTGCTGAACACAATGCCTACATTGCACGGCACTTTTCCTGTTGCCGAGGAGATGTCTTCTTCCCACGTCGGCTGGCGAGTGCGTGATTACGCCTGTGCGGTTTGCACAAGGTCCATGGCAGCAGAGGTGCTACGGCTGAAGAAATCGTGGGACGAGGAGAGGGCAGCGTTGGCGTTGCTCAGTGGCGCCCGTGACGCACTGAAGAGTAAGTGCCATGGCAGCCAAACCGACACAAGCAACCAAACTAATATTTACTGCGAGGAGTTGAGGAGTGAAGGGGAGGCGGCGGCGGCGACGGGGCGGACGGTGTATGTAAGCAAAGCTTTGATGGAGTTTTGGGAGAAGTCTCTTGCGGCAAATGCGAAGCGGAAGGATGTGGTGAATCGTCAGGGCTTCACGGGGCTTTTTGCCGCCCTTCGCATGGAGGAGGCAGCGGACAGAAACGAGAGTAACGACAATAATAATAATAATAATAATGATAATCATAGTAAAAATAACAATTGGCATGATGGTGTCTCCAGGCTCACTTTACCCGAATGTGGCAGACTTCTCTGCGATCATCGACTTCTTGCGCCATCCGCGGTGGTTCAGGTGGTCCCAGCGGCTACTTGGCGTTATCTGCGAGAGCGAGTTGCGCAGCCGCTCTGCGCGGGAGAAAACACATCCGAGGTTTTGGACAAGTTTCTGCCATACCTTCCTACGGAGAGTACTCCCCGGTGCCCCGACTGCATTCAAAACACCGTCAGCTTGACAGCGCAGCGCCATCATGCGAAGATGTCAAAGATCGCTGAGTCGAAACGGTTCCCCACCCTGGCATCTGCCGCTCAATTCCTTTCCATGCCACAGGCAGAGATGCGGAAGCAACACCCCAATTCTTACGTGTGGAAGAGGAACCTTGAACGCCTTTACCGGGATCACTATCGTTCGTGGGAAAAGGAGCAGGCTGCTGTGGTTGCCGCTGCCGAGACGCAGATTGCCACGCTCACAAGAGAGGAGGAAGAGCGAAAAAGGGCGGAAGCAGCGTGGGAGTCCATGCGGGTGCGGCGAGGAGGGCATAAGAAAAGGTTTAAACAAACCAATAGTTCCACTGAGACAAGAACCGCTCCACAAGTGACACCGTCAATGTCTGTTGCGACTCCACTGCAGCAGGCGGAGGAGGCACTCAAGAAGGCACGTGCCGCGACGTGTCCGGATTTGTGCCACACATACGGGTGCATTCCGATGTGGTGGGTGACACTTTGGCGGCGATGGTTCATGGATTTGGACGGCACCTTCTCGCTCCCGCCTTGTTTTGATTACGAGGCGTTGCTCTGTCCACATGGTGGGACGCTTGTTGCACCGCATCTTCTTAATCCGGCAGATCCGTTTTGGGAGGCAAAATCCGTTGCCCGGCATCTCGTGCAACTGTGGCACCAGAGATCTTCTGCCATTTCCATCGACGATGCCTGTGACGTGTACTCTCTGGACGATGACAACAAATTGCCGCCGTTCCCTCCACTGTTGCTGCTGCCGTTGACAGAGTTTGTAGACATACTTGAGACGTATGGAAAATCGGGAATGCTTTTACCTTCATCTCCTTCTTCAGGAGAGGAGAATACGGAACTTATCCGGTGCAGGGTGGATTCAAGCAAAGCGATTTTATTTGTGGAGCGAAACACGGACCGTGTCTTTGACCCGCCTACCTGCGAGGAATGTGTGGCATCGCTTCTCGAGAGAATTAGGGAATCGTCTCGTTGCTTTTTGAACGGGTCGCTGAGACTACAGCTACGCTTTCGCCGCAGTAGAAAAAACTTTTACGAGTCCACGGATGTGCTTCGAGAACTGCATCACACCACCACTCTGCGTGAGCTCAAACAGGCCATATCTCGTCTGGTGGCAGAGCATCACGGTTTTCTGTTGCCTCTGCAGGAGATGGAGCTTCTCCGTGGGCGTAAGCCACTGCGCCGTCATCGGAACCACACGATGAAGAAGAACGAATCCGAAGTGCAACCGTCTGGTTCCGGCAATGTTGCGTCCCCTTTAGTCATTGATACCAATGAAATGCCAAAGTCTTTTCAGGGCGATGAGGATGCCGGTACTCTGTTTGACTACGGTCTATGCGACGGCGACGTACTGACAGTGAACGCCACGGAACGTGTGCTGGAGAAGATTCCGGGTGCAATGAAGGAGACTGAGGTGTGGGAGGAGGTCCCGGCGGAGCTGCTCCAACCGGTGCAAGAGAGCTCCACGGCATTTGGTGCGACCCGGCTCCACGGCGCCGTTGGTAAAAGTCGGCGTGGCGGCGCTGCCGAGGCAAAGGCGCAGGTCGCTTGTGACGTCTGCACATTCATCAACGCACCGGGGAGGGCTCGGTGTGATATGTGTGAGACCCCCTTCAAGCAGTAGACTTCTGGATTTGAAGTCCACACGAGAAAAAGCAGAGGAAGGAAGAACGAAAAAAGAAAAAAAAAGAAAAAAGCATCTGGATAAGTTTTTGCTTTTTATTTTTTATTTTTTGGCGAGTATGTGCAGCAACCTCAGCGTTGTTGCCGCGCATCTTCTCCCCGTTTGCCGCCCCCGCCAGAAGTTAAATGGATCGATGTGACCGTCGCGTGACGAGAGGAACCGCAGGAGAGGTGCGTGACATACCCGCGGCTGGACCGTTATTTTTTTTTTTGTTTTGTTTTCTTCCCTCTTCTAGTTGTTGTTGTTTTTTAAATCTCTTTTACGTTTTTTTTTTTTTTTTTTAAAAACTCGAACCGTCTTTTTGTGCGGAGTGGCTTGCGGCGATTATCTCGAGGGCATTTGGCGTTGGGGGTAGTGAAGCAGGGAGGAGGGACACGCAAATGACGTCCATGACGCGGGTGGAACTGCCCACACTTGTTGACTGCCACGTCCACTTTCGCGAGCCCGGCCTGGAGCAGAAGGGTGACATGCGGAGTGAGTCCGAGGCGGCCTACGCGGGTGGAATCGGTGTGGTGTGCGACATGCCCAACACAAAACCACCAACGCAGACGATCACAGCGTTTGCTGAGAAGTGCGTCGTGCCAAGGCGGTGGAGAAATTGTGCGACATTCGCTTATTTTTTGGTGCTACCGCCCACGAGCATCTGCAGGAATTGGAGACGCTGTGGACACAACCGCAACACGCGGCTCTCAAGGCCCGTTGTGCCGGACTGAAGCTTTATCTTGACAACTCCACCGGGAACCTCAAGAGCAGCGCGGATGTGACGGAGGCCGCCTTTGAACTTTGTGGCAAACTTGACATTCCGCTCGTGGCGCACTGCGAACACGCGACGCACAATGACGAAGCTTGTTCTGCGAACCCTTACACAGGGCCGGCGTCGCACTCATTGCGACGCCCGGTTCATTCAGAGTCTGCGTCCATCG